GATAACGTAGATTAGTCCCGGGTATGTGCGTAGCATGAAGGGGAAAGTGGACGGGAGACGAAAAAAAATCGTCCGGACCCTGCCGAAACGACTCGCACTGCCTCTGACTGTAAGCGTCTTGTTCGCATCACCCAACCTGGTAATCCTATTCTAATGACAGTTTTGGATAGTCATTGCGGTTTTAAGCCATATTTATTTTTGGGATATGGAATTAAAAGCTGATGCGAATGGAAGAAGCAGAGCAGACTGCAGCTCAAGAGTTGGTATGACCATGAGAATGACATAGAGTCGACCTGTCCCCATGTAGTGCAATCAAACATGAAAAGGTATCCCTTGAAATGAGGAAAGAATGAGAGGCCAGCTGAACTTTGGAAGTCTGATGCATTTCATGTATATTTTCCTATGAATTGTTTTGAAGAAAAGTAAGAGCCATGTTCCTCATTGAGCCCCCTTGACACTGCCTGTTACCATAGGCCCAACATTAAAGTTTTGCTGAAGGCACAGGCCTAGGTTCAGGTTAAACTCTGCTTGTGGTCATGGGCATCCGCTCCCAGGGGCAAGGGGGGGGGGGGCACTTGCCCCGCCCTGGAAATTGGGCATGGCAATTTACTGGTAGTACTAAAAAAGAAATTTAATGTACTTCACGTGGAAATCTCTTCTTCCGTAGCACCATTTAGACCAATCTTGCCACACAATATGAAACATCCTAACGAGTTAAAAATTCAACTCAACCCAATCTGGTCCAGAGGCTCCGGTAACACTACTGCTCTACATAACATTGCACCAAAGCTGAAGATCGTACAACATGGAATGCAAGTATCCCAGGCTGAATGGCTATTTCACGTCTTCCTTGTAGGCCGTTCACACCAGGCCTACAGTAGGCCTGCCCTGGTTGAGTGAGACTATGCCTGCACCTTGGTACTTGTTTGTGTCCAGTTTGCTTAAAAAAATCAAAGCTTTTAAAGAAGACACCCTTATGGCATAGTTGGAAGCGTAGGGTTACATTTTTGCAGTTACATTGTTATATTTATATAACCAAGGTGCTTGTTGTTTCTCTTCAAGGAGTAGAAGACCCTCCCAGCAAACAAGGCTATGTTGTACCAATGTTACAAACGTTGACTCAGCGTTATGTGTTTCAAATTGTTTGCTGGGCTGTCTCATTGTCTATATTATTGTCCATAAGAGTTGCATAATAGGTCTACAGGTAAGGGCTACTTTGAGGCCCACAATTTCTGTTGTTTTTAAGACGAAACATTTTTCCTTTGATTGCAGTTATGAAGAAAAAAATAAAGAACTGGTAATGAAAACTGTATGGTTTTTGGCCTTAAAAACAACAGCAGAAATTGTGAGGTGGGATCTGAGTAAAAAACGTGTGGTATGCGTTTAAAAAAGTATATGAGCTTTGAAATTGCTCTCATCTTTTGCTCAAGTAAATGCCAGACATTCTGCAAATCTTTCAATTTTGTTGAGCTGCATAGAAAATGGCACCATACAATTGAAAACTGAGGTTTTTTGTGAAATTTGTGATTTTGAACATTTCAAGCCATCACATCTCCTTAAACAGAATTTGTTGGGACAAAAATGGGATACACATCATTAGATCTGCTGATTCCAAAAAAATAGATGAACATGTTGACATTTTGCAAATTTTTGAATCTACCAAAAATAGGCAAATTTTACATAGCTTTATTTTATTCAGCGTTGCCTCAAGGAGAAAAGTATATGAAATAACTTCAAAAGTCTAAATTTTGAAGAACAATGGTGTTTGCTGCGTTCGTTTTGGTCAGAAAGTTTTTGGCCCATATGAGTGTGAAGAGGTGCACCTTTTTTTAATTTCACAAAATTCAACAAATTATTGTGCTAAAACGGTTCCATACCCAAAACCAAAATTTTACATTTTAACTTTGGGTCATGAGGGGTACCACATGAAAATTTTCATCAAAATCAGAGGGGGTCATGCTCCAGCCTCTGGCTGAAGATGGAATTACCCTGGTATAATTCCTTGTACTTTATCATCATTTTACAAAAGATAAATTATCCTTGTGTGTGCATCTGTTCTGCCATTCTTGTGCCTTGTCCCCCCCCCCCCTGGGAATAAACTAGCGGATGCCCATGCTTGTGGTGTAAGCCTCATCAATGTAGGAAAAATAAGTTTTTTTCCCACAAACCTGAGGTGACAAGTAGGAATTTCCCAGGAAGGATATGCAAGCAGATTAAGTGGGCTGGGCCTGCCTATGCATCTCTGTTCCTGCAAACCTTGTTCACAGGTTCACATGGGTTTTCCTAACCTGAGCCTCATGCCATATGATTCAGATGAGATGATGAGCTTTGCAGTTCTTCAGATGAGGTAAAACTCATCTGCTTCCTCCAGTGTTCACATGGAAATGGCTGAAAGGGAAACAAAGTGACCTTTTCAGTCCAACAAGTGTTATGTCTGCTCCATTAATCCCAAGTTCTTCCAATAGTTGCTTTTTCACTGCCTGAATTTCCATCATTTAGGAGACCACATTAAACTCTCACTCTGCATGCTCATCTCATGCATCATTACATTAACTATAGATCCAATATTGATACTTGGAAATAAGGAAAGAATCACATTTGTCTTCTATGTCTCTCATTCTAAGTGATCAAGTTACTTCACTATTTCTACTCTCACTTTCCAAGTATGGTACTTGATTGAGATATGACCAGACCATGGGTCTCAAACTCTTGGCCTGCAGGCTGCATGCAGTCCACAAACGCTTGCAGTGCAACCTGTGTATACCGGAGAAACATTTCAGGTCCAATATATACAATCAAGGAAAACCTTCAGACTTTTTTAAATTTGCCCTGCAAAGAGGTCTGATCTTGATGATGCAGACTCCACACCGAAGCGAGTTTGAGACCCCTGGCCTAGACAAACCACAAAAGTGTTTGTGAAGAAGTTGCCTGTACCATGGTGACTTGGCCACATTTGACAGAAAGAGCAGGCCTGAATATTTCTCATTTTTCTTTTCACGTTGATGTAATGGCAGACCAACACTTTGAATGCTGTTCAAGGACATCAGCTGGACCTTTTTTAACTGCACTTATGCCTATGCTCACTTCACATTTTGTGTGGGATTTTAGCCCTGAACATACCTCAGCATAAATACAGGCTTAAAGGCATGACTTGAATATATTTTAAAACCATGTAAAAGTATGTTTTTAGGTCTTGCATGTGCCTCAGAGACAGCTGTGGGAAGGCATTCATGAGGGAGTTATTCTTTGTTTAGAGATTAGATGTTTTAACTAAAAATTTTTTAGTATGAAGATACAAGGTAGTCATGGCAAGAGTGAGCCTTCCTCTTGCATATTGGCTGTGGTTGATTTTGAATGAAAACATTGCACCAAACATTACAGATACCAGTATTGCTGTTACATTGCTTCTAAGCCTAAGCTTATTGTTGCAATCTGGACCATCCTGTATTTGTTGAGTTCTGAGACTAAAGCCTAGAGCTGTTGGCATATATAACTGGTAAACTGTATAATAACTGCTGTGATATGTGTTCCGATTGGTATGTATCTCTGTTTCCAGCAATATAAAATTTGATTCAGAATTTTCCAAAGCTGGTTTAGCCAACCAAGCACTTTAAAGTTAGCTATTGAAATATGATTAAACCCCCACTCATCCCAGGAGACTCAATGAGTTGATACATGATGGGACAGCCTTGTACCTTTTGGATGACAGTGTTGAGCTTTGGCTTTCAAGGAAGAACCGCTCCTCTATGTATGTACTTTCATCCAGAAAACACATTGATTCTGTCCACCTTAAACACTTGTACAATCATAAAACAAAAGCAGTGAATAATACTGGCTTCCCTTTTTTCATGAGAGCCCACCTAAGGGCAGGGGTTTCTAAATAATGTTACTGGCAACCTTCAAAATACTTCTGTGGCCAAACTAGATAGGGGAAGATTCAGAAAAAATCTTGATATGGAAGATAAGATGTAAATGTTGTTTACTAGTACATACATTAATATAAGATTTGCTGATTTTTTTAAATTTCATACTACAGAAAAAGGTGCCTTTTTTTTTTCTCTCTACATCCAGTATAGGCCATTCACCATGACTTTGTATTTCAACATTCTTACTCTCCTCTACATACTCAGCAAAATGGGGCAGTCACTCAAGTTGTCAGGTGCCAACCCAGGGCTTTCTATATGGATTTTTCCTGCTTTTTTGAAGCCTCATTTTCAGAGATATTTATAGGTGACTAGACATCCTTGTGTCACCGTTTTGACATCTTACCCCTTTGCTATTCAAAAATGAGTCCTAAGTATAGTTGAATGGCATGTAATTCTATCAGCTGGAGCAAAGAAATGCAGATATTAATATCTTGCTTGAACATCGTATATATGTTTTGGATTCAGCCTTTCCTGAGAAAGCAGGTTCCTAGGATTCAGGTAGTTAATTTTCATGATGTTGTGGTTCCTAGACTAGCCTGGCTCAACTCTCAGCCACAAATTCTAAAATATACCTGCAAATACAGTTCAACTGAATTAGAATTCATGATGGTGGAGAGTCTTGAGGGAAAAAAAAATTTAAGGGACAATTTAATTTCATGGTTATATGTACCCAACAAAATTTGTGAAATTAAAATGAATTAAAAAATTTTTTTTCTGCCTAGTACCATACTTACACTTCTTTACTCACAGGTCATGAATGTGGCCTAAAAACCAGCCAAGAAAATGGCTAATGACCTATTTTGCATAGATTTTATGTATAAAGTTTAAAAACCCATTAAATTCAGAAAAAATTTAATTATTGGACACCGTATGCCCAGCTCACACTCACTGCTCACTGTCTGCATAGGAGGAAGCATTGACCTTTGGGGGAAATGAGCATTCAATTGTGGATCTCTTATATAAATTGTGCCTCACCTAATCTTTCGCTGTCCTCCTTAGTTTGCTTTATCTCAGCAAGGCATAGGCTGACAGTATGGTTCACTCATTTTTATATCTAGGGTTCAGCCTGGGTTGATGAAGTTGGATATAACAGACTTTGAAGCCACTGGGAAATATTTGAGGGATCTGCATCCGAGCTTGATTGTCCATTGTGCTGCTCAGAGGTCCCCAGACAAGGTTGATACAGAGTATGAGAAGACATGTTGTCTCAACGTGGAAGCTTCAGGGAATCTTGCCTCTCTTGCAAGTATGCATCATCTATTTAGCCTGCTACCACCTTTTGGCCTGGCTTAATATGTGGGGAATTATATTAATGATTCTCTTCTTTTTTTTTTCATATATCCTTGTTTCCAGAGGAAGTTGGAGCCAAGATGATATACATCAGCACAGATTATGTATTTGATGGGAAGAACCCTCCTTATCATGAAGGTGATAAGACCAATCCTCTTAACAAGTATGGTCTCACAAAACTGCAGGGTGAAGAAGCTGTCATGAAGAGTTATCCAGGTCTGATTCATACTTCTAAGGGGTAGAGAGTTGATGTTTGGCCTCCCAGTGATGAAGACAAGACAGCCCCATCTTTTTTTTTTTCATAGATGCCATCATCCTCAGGATTGGAATACTCTATGGAGAAGTGGAGCATCTTGAAGAGAGTGCAGTCACTACCTTGTTTTCAACATTGAAGGATAAAAACCACGAGAAGACTGTATCTGATTATGAGATTCGTTATCCCACTCATATCAATGACATTGCTCATATATTGGTTGGCCTTGCAGAGAAATGTGATTCAAGTGTAAGTTCTCCTGTCTTATGTTTCCATTTGGCCTATGTCAATCGTTCAACTTTGTGAGTCTTGACCCTTATGTGGAACTCTCAGGGTGAGGTCAAGGGCATCTACCATTGGTGTGGGAAGGAGGCCATGACTAAGTTCAAGATGGTACAGGAAATGTCCAATGCCTTGTCTATCCCCATGGACCATGTGAAGCCAGACTCATCGCCTCAATCTGGTGCTGTCACCAGACCATACAATGCTCAGTTGGCAACATCTCGCATAGATAAACTGGGCTTGGGATGTCACACACCATTCAAAGTTGGCATCACTGAATGTCTCAAACCATACCTATAGTGCTTTCTTGCTTCTGCTTAATATTTTCACATATTGTTTCTTATTTCTGGTTTTTGGCATGTGATAATAAGGTGATATCAATATAGCTCTGTTGGCTTTTTTATTTTTATGGAAGTCATGCAATCTGAATTGACTCTTTTATGACATATATTGTGCTCATGGATGGTTCATCCATCCACTGGATTTGTTGTGTTGTGTAAGTTTCACAGTATCACTGAAGCAGATTTGTTTATTATGACATAAGGTGTGAATCAGCCCTCCAGCTGCCTCAATTTGTGGTTGCTGCCAATCAGGAATGGAGAGGGTCATGTTTATAATGGCCAGACCAACTGATTTACATAGTGTGTCTTTCTTTAACTCCAAAAGGGTTTCTTTCAAAGATAAGGATTAGGATATATTGGTTTTGCATGTTCCTGCTTTGAGTGACCAATTTTCTCAGGTATGGGTACATTGAAGGTTTGAGTTGGCCTAAAAATTTTGAAACTTCTCATAGAGCACATTAGTCAAAGTGTGTACCTTTAATTCTAAAGCCAGTATGGCCTCTAGTGTGAGGAAGTCAAAGCGGAGAAACTCCAAATTTGAGTTGACTGAAGAAATGAAGGCAGACATCAATGAGACTTTTGAGATGTTTGATCCAGACAAGACTGGTCTAATGGATACTCGGGATCTGAAAGTGAGTGCAATCGGTCTCTTTGACTGTCAATTCATCAGGGTCATGTCATTGAGTTCAAAAAACATGCTTCCTATGACCTACCAGATGGCTTTTAGAGCTATGGGTTTTGAGCCAAAGAAAGAAGAAATCAAGAATATCATCACTGAAATTGACAAGGATCGTACAGGTGAGACTCTTGATTCTGCTTTTGTTCAAAACCACTCTGGTAAAGACCATTGAGCCATTGGTAATAGCTAAAGAAACACTCCAGCCGGGTTCTGCTTCCCCCCAAAAGACGAATATACAGGGGAAGCTTCTTGCAATTTAATTTAATTTTGTGAGTTTGCTAACCTTAGACTGTGCGTCATTTGTTCCTGGATGAATGGCATTAAGTACCAAAAAAATTTAATTTTAAACTGAAATTTGCTTATCCATGATTTCCTGCTATCTTGTATGGAGATTCTTGTTCTGAATTGTGCCCTGTCACAGTTGATTCAAAGTTCAATATGACAACTGGAAAAGAAATGTTGAAAAGTCTTGCAAAGGTTGTCGGCTTTTTCTTATGTATAGAGTAAGGAACTTAGGAACTTGTTCTACACAATAGGGGTAGTGACCTTTCTCTCACTATTTGTTTTCTCTTCCCCCCCTTCTTTCTGATGGGATTAAATTTTTGAATTTTTTGCACCTAGAAAAAGGGAAACCTGGGCACTGCATCTGTCTGTCACTGACTTCCACTTGGCCCATTTACGAGCTGAAGCTTGTGTTACTATGAGGTAGAAGTAAAGTTTATTTATGAAATTGATCTGGAAAAATTTGATTTGAGGACAATTGAGTCTTGGTTTTATATCCCTTGAACTCAAATTTTTGTTCCTGGGGACGGGGTCAGTTTGTGATAGTTATATCTAAATAAATAGACTAATTACTTTTTAAAAGTTTGCAACAATAATTTTTCCCAGTATTTAATTAAATAAAGAATTCTAAGCAGTCCATATAGATTTATTGAAATTCTCACATTTCAGTAGAGGACTGGCATTACCTGGCTCAGCAGAAGAGTTCTCAGTGCATTTCAAGCCTGAGGCTTGCCTTAATCAATAAATTAATTTCAAGGAATCTGTATGCTGTTAATCAATTTATTGTGTAATTTAAATACTGCCTTCACAAATACCAAAAATGAAATTCCTTTGCCAGAAAGACTACAAGCACTAAATAAGGCAAACTTCATTTGCTTTCTCATTTGTTGATGGAATGGTCCAAGTTTCTGAATTGAATGGAGTAAAGAATTTCCTTCTTGAATGTTTATCCACACATCACTCCCTTTAATCAGCAGAAGATGAGGACTATTCATTTTCTATTTTTCTATTGTAATGCCCAGTGTTACCTTTGCTAAAATAACCATTGGCACTATGGAGTTATAGAAAGGCCTTGATGTATTGTTTTTAGGCTTCATCCAGGATGGAAGTGACAGTACATCTATAGATCTATTCCCATCGCTCATGCTTTTTATTTTTTTGTTTACTTTTGCTCTTTGACCTCAAAACCATGAAATGCTTTTAGGGAAAATTAAATTTGAAGACTTTGAGGAATTGATTGTGGACAAGATGGCTGAGAAAGATTCAGAGGAGGAGATCAGCAAGGCCTTTCGTCTCTTTGATGATGATGAGACGGGGAAAATTTCTCTGAAGAATCTCAAAAGAGTTGCCCAGGAACTTGGAGAGAATATTAATGAAGAAGAACTGAAGGTACCCTGCATTCTTCCCAAGAATTATGAGAAATCATAGATATTCATGAAATTGGTAATGAAAGAAGGGCCTAATGGTTTTATTTAGGAAATGATACTGGAGGCAGACAGAGATGGAGATGGGGAAGTGAACAAGGAAGAATTCAAGCGGATCATGAAGAAGACGTGCCTCTACTGACTGCTTGTACCCATGCAATGTCATGAATTCGAATTGTTGAGGGATATTGATCTCAGTGCTTTTCTCCAATTCCATGTTGTATCAATGTCAATCATATCGTTGTTCTTCCAACCCCCCCATCCCCCCACTTGTGGGTATTAAGGTTGTCTAGTCTGTTTCCTTTGTTTCTTCGCATCATTCAGTTTCCCCTCCTGGATCTCATAATAAAGCTAAAATTTTATTTTACATATAACCTTTAACAAGTGTTCAAACTTTCTTTGTAGTGTATGGATGATGTTTTAATTTTGTCCAGCTGGAGCAGGCTCCATGCTTGCTAACATGCTGTTGGCAATCACAACTTTGAATTCTTGCTTATAAGCAACTGCTTTTGGTATCTAAGTTGCCATGTACATTGTTACTCAACAGTGACAAAGACAGACCTGGGAATCCCCCTTTATTCTATGTGCACCACTTTGTCTCTTTTTCCAGATCTGGGTCCAAGGGTCAACTGAAGCCAGCAAGATGACATTATTATGAGATCTCTCACTTGTATTACTCTTGGATTGACCCAAAGAGTTTTTGGAATCATGGAGGACTTGGACTTACTTCTTCAAAGAGTACAGAACCAAGCTGTTGGTTGGAGGGACCTGGTCACTCTTACTTATAAGGAGTTTCTTCGTCAAGTGGGTCAGATGAACCGAATGTGAGGCTTCATTTTACTCTTTTTCACAGCACCAGACTTAGGAGTGCTTCTTCAGAGCCAAAAATCAATATTTTCTCCATGGGAAAAGGTGTCAAGCATTATTTGACAAACCTGGGGACCAGCTTGTGTTTGCTGTCAAGAAAGGGACAGATGAGTCTATGTTCTGGAAGGCCACTGTTCAGATTGGCTGCTGTTTGGTGAACTCAAGTACCAAGACTGTCAATTCACATCGTCTCCTGAACCTCAGGCAGTTCCAAAGGGTCAGAATTCTCCTGAGTCTGAGTACTCTACCTTTGTGTCTGCAGAGTGGTTCCAAGCAAAGAAGTTAAATCTATTAGATTTCTCTTATCCTGACAGAAAGATCAAGTGAATATGATAATGTTAACCTGTCCTTGTACTGAACTGCAGTTGAAGATTACTATTAGTTACATAGAAGCTCTTGCAACAAACCATCAAGGAAATAAGTAAATAAGTAGTAGCACAATGTGCAAGAGGTGTTTGGAAAATAATGTCTGTTTGAATAACTTGTTTATTTCAAATCTTACAAAAATGAAATTTGACACATTGATAGAGGTGGCATAGAGGAACAATTGTCTACTTTTCTATGTGATCTCCATTTGCAACTACACACTTGTGCCACCTCTCCACCCAACATTCAAAGGCAATGCATGTGTCCTGTGCTCATAGTCATTTGCTCTTACTCCAGGTATACAAGACAGTTCAAGAACAAGTCATGGAGTTAGGGAGGGCAGCTGAGGTCATTCCATCTCCACCTCCTTCTCCTGCAAGGGATAATACAAGTGATTCTGAAGCATCTGCCTTTGCATCATCTCAGTTTCTTCCTTCTCTCAAGGACATCAAGGGTCAACCCCTCACAGCCACCATGATCCTGGAAGAAGCAAAGCTAGAATTTGGAAATGATCTTGAGGAGTGTTGTATTTGCCTGGAGAGGAAGCCTGATGCCATTCTTCCCTGCATGCATTCCTACTGTTCCAAGTGTATAGACCAGTGGTGAGTTGGCATACTTGGGATTGTTTACTTGATGGTGACCATCCTCTGTGAGAAAGATTATAGAAATGTGTTGTGATATCAGAGTTATATGCCAGATGTCAATCTGGCATAGAAGTGAAACCACAGCTGTATTGAAATGTAGTCAATATTTTGTATATTGAAAGACATGCAACTCAAATTTTGGACATGTAGACCAGCGTTCCAATTCCAATATTAGATAATTTAAAGAAATTATATTGTTGGAATTGGTTAATTGTTTTCTGTTCCTGGGATTTGGCTTATGATGGGTATGAGACTCAAAGTCTTAAATGATAATAGTAATCATTTGAAAACCATGTTGCAACCTCTATAATCTCAATATTAAAATCTCAACTGGAGAATTGTGACAGGATGCATCTTGATTTCTGTTTTAGTATCTGTAGCCCAAATGTTGGAAAAATCCATATCCACTCATACCTTGAATATTGACCCATATTGTTTGATACAGAGGTGGAAAAAGTTCTGCTTCCTGGTAACCATAGCTTACCCTAAGGGAGGCTGAGCAGAGGCAAAAAGGGGGGAGGGAGTGGAAGTGTTTGGCAGATGATCAATTTTAAGCCACCACTAGTGATTCAATGAAAACACCTATGTGTAGGCCCCTAGCAGGATCTAACAGGGAGTGCACAGATGGGCACAGCCCTTCAGAAGCATATATTAAAATTGAAGAAATGTCATTTGAAACAGTTTTTACACGTTTTTCTGCAGAGGAATCATAAATCTGCACGAGGAATTCAATCAGTATTAACTTTTCTGGACTGGAATATTTGTTTTATTGCATTCATGCTTCAAGCCTCCCCTTCTTTCAGTCAGTCAACGACCTCTGAAACAGCATGTAACTTAAACTTGGGTGCTTGATGCATTCTTCACAAGAAATGCCAACTACTTCTTCCTCCAAAATGTAGATCAAGAGCTTGAACCAGGAGCTCTTTGGCTTCTGAAAGGGTTTAAGGGTTCAATTATGGCACTTCGTCACTTGACACCTGCAGATATTCTCTCAGTGACAGGACACATATAATGTTATGTACCAGGAGGTCTGGCACAGGACCACATGTGGTACAATGCATGAGGTGTGGATCTCTCACCTCTTGAAATATGCACTGAAAAGGATAATCCCTTTTAATGCTGATGACTCTATTTTACAGTTAGGCAAATTAGATAAATGTCCCCACTTCTTCCCATCTATCCTCCCCATTAGTGCGAGATCCTAAAAGCCCAGGATTGAGAAAATACACAATACTGAGATCTTTCTCCATATGCGCTTGGCACAGGAGGAAAAAATCTACAAGGGGTGGTCGAAAAGTTCCAGGACTTGATTTTTATGATGTTTTGGTGACTCTTTCTGACTACTGATGGGTTATATCTTTCAAACTAGTCCTCTGTGGCATCTACACAAATTTCCCCACTCTTTCTTTTGGCATTATTTCCTTCTTTCCCCCTCACCTTTTTCTCCCAGTAATTTTTTTTTCCCTACCTTGCCTTCCCAATTGGCTGTCACCCTTCCCAGTAACCTGGTTACCAGGTTACAGAACTTTTTCCACCTCTGGTTTGATATATCCAATAATATTACTGCATCTTTACTTTGAACCTTTTTGTACAATCAATGCCCTTGAGATTCACATGAAAAGATGAAAGCATAGTGGTAGCTCAAACTTCCTTTATCTCTGTATTACCAGTCTCCACTCCAACCTTGATGTACAGGGTGTAGTTGCCCATCTCTGGCTTGAAAATTTTCAGGTAAACAATATCCAAACCTTTGTTATTATTAAATTTTTAGATGCATTCCTATGTTCTTCCACTCCAGGCAATCAAGCAGTGCAACCTGTCCTGTGTGCCGGGAAAAAGTGGATGCTTCTGATGACTCTTGGGTCATATCTGATATCCCTGACATGGGTGAGATGTCCAAGGAGATTGAAAGGGGCCTCCATGAGCTTGCCTCTGGTCCATAGAGTTTCACCCTGGCTCTGCTCTACCTCCATTCTCCCTTAATTTTGGCAGGCACCTGGTTTGCCTAGATTAAAAGTTTTTGTCCTAATTGAAGTATAATGGTGCAGATAAAGGTCACTCAATCATTTCCTTCAACTTCCTGAATGTGCTCATTCCCATGTTTTGAGCACCAAGCAGGCAGGCCTGACAAATGCAAAGTTTTGACCTTTTTCCTATTGGTGAGCCGACATCCACACAACCTTCAAAGCCTAGATGGTTTTTTACCAGCTGACATTCATAACGTCTAGTCCCTTTGCTTATTGTCCACAATTTTTTGCAAATTGAATTGTGAAATTTTCACTATTATAAATTCAATTGTAAATTCATATTAGTGTTTCTGAGAAGTTAAGAATGAAGTTAGAGAAAATAACTGCGTAGATGTTGTGGGATCATTCCTAAGGTTTTCAGCATATTCATGCTCTTTCATTTGATGCACCTCCAACACTCTGAAACTGGGCATTGTTGACCTTATAAAGTGATGGTTATATCCAAAAATTCATCTCCCTATTTATTGATTTGTGCTGTTAAATTATCTTAATGTTTGGTTTCTTGTGGTGAAGAACAACCACAAATCTCCAAAGATTGTACTACCCTATCTGTATTACCTTCAATTGCATGGTGGCAGATGAGAAAAGGAGTTGGCAAAGAGAGAAATAATAAATGTGTCAAGGAACAAATTTAGCTCCTGAAAAAAATTCTGCTCCAAAAGTCACAAAATGTTCTGCCCACAAGACAAGATGATTTCGTACTCTTCCTTTTAGAGTAAAAGCTCATGGATTACTATTGTAACTCTGATGTGCAATTGATACATTCCAGTAGAATTTCATTGGAATCAGTTATATAAGTGATGCACAAGGCAAGCGTAGCAGTGGATAATTCCTTTTAAAAATTACTTCATGAACATGCCAGTTCACCTTGTCAGCTTTTTTTTTTTTTCAAAGTAATAGAATATTGCCATGACTAGTATTTTGACCAGAAATGATTATGTATAATGCAAAAATGTCCTGTGTCTTGCTATCAAAACCTGAGAAATAAAATAACAGGCAGTTTGCCAGACATGCTCTCTTCACTATAAGTAAGCCCATGTGAAATTCACCTTACATCTTAAAAGACTATATTTTTGCTTGCATTTGGTATAAATCGAATTTCGTATCTCGTTCTGGTCTAGCTTTCTATGCAAGCTTCGTGGTAATGTTAGGCATTGACAAAATGGAAAATGGATTTCAGAAGATATTCTCTTATCTTTTTGAGATGTTGATTGTGTGAAGTTTTAGTAGAGGTATTGCTCTGAGTAGAGCTCTAATCAGCTTGTTATTTCTGAGGTAGCTACTCTAGACCTGCTTTTGTTCAGTTTTGCTGTTGATTGTTGATCTCCAAATTTGCTTATTTTCCCTTTGCACTGTCTAGAGTAGCATGCACATTTGAGACTTATTTGTGATGTATTTTCATTTCCCTCACTGAAGGGGTTCCCATGATTCTTTCTGTTGCCTATGATAGGGTGTTTTCAAGTCTTCAGTTTCAAGTCCACAAAACATTTGACACTGCGGTCAGTTATGTTTTTTGCAGTTTCAACATTGTTCCAAACATCTCTTGTCAGCACTTAGAGAAATATAATAGATTTTCAAGATCTCTGGCAAAACATTTACCCAAGGTGAGCATCTTAAAATAAAATTAGGAAAAATCTGAATTTCCTTCAATGTAAGTGGAATGAAGTTCCTTGCCCAGAGGACAAGGAACTTGAGACCATGATCAAAATGACCACACTTCATATCTGAGAATGGATCTGAGATCCATTCTCAGGTCTCCCCCCCCTCATGGAACAAGATCCATGTGATTCACTGTCTTTTTCTATTCTAAACATTCCTATCAATTCTAGAAATGCACTTGATCACATATTGTTAAAGAAAAGATACCACATTGGAGATGGTTTAGCATAAAGCTGCAGATTTTGTTCCCAATCAATGGTTGTCCAAAATTGTGTGCCTTCTTTTTTTCTTTCTTTAGAATAGTGCTCATATGTGAAGCATACTTTTCACATCCTTTCATCGAATCATCACCATGAACCAAAGGCTTGAAAGGAATCAAATTTACAACCTTCCAAAATAGCCTAGAACTTTAATATAGAGATTTTTGTTCAGCTCTTTTTTACTGTGCTTATTTAGCAAATTCTCACATAATATTATTTACTTTAACATAGTCTTCCTTTAAATTCTGATGTGGGTCTCCTGAAACAAAATTTTAATCATCCAATATATTGGTGGAGAATTGTACATGTTTCATTACATTCTGTCGATAAGGTTTGTCTCAAGACTTGAATTGATTTGGTATTGGAATACATTGTGATCCACATTTTGAAGTGTCCCTTTCATGCTGAACTTCATTCTTCTTGTAGTTGTTTTTTGATCTGCTACTTCTCCCCTCCATTTGCCTTTCCTTGTATTTACAGGGTGGCTAAAAAGAAAAACCAAGCTATCAATTTCATTTTCTCCTTCTCTCACTTAAGCTCATGAGGAGTTCTTTTTGCAATTTATATGATTTTTGGCCAGTGTATGAAATCTCATTGCCACCAATAATGGGGCTTCCTTGCAATTGTACTTATGCCACATCAGCTTCCACTGAAGGGTGCCATAGCAGCAATGGGCAAGTGCCACAGGGGTAGAGGTGGCCCTGCTGGTTATTGCTCCCATTCACCATGCAATTGAAAATGGAAGTGCCAATAAATTTGCCAGAGGTAGTGATGGAATGTTCTGCAGTATGTTCTGCAGAATGCACCTTGCTGGAAAATGAGCATTCTGTAAAAATATTCATCCTTGTGATCAATGGCCAAGGTAGAGTCTCTTTCCCTCCTGGGACACTCTTCCATAATATGCAGTGGGACATATTTACAAAAATTGCCAAGAAATTCACTCAATGTTGATGGTCAACAACTGCCCCTTTGCGTACAACCTGAAAGAAAGAGCATTTCTGACAACAAAAGTTCAACCTTTTGTGTCAAAAGTGGGAAATTGATTGGATGACAACTTTGATTGCTTGGGTTTTTTTTCCTTACCCACTCTGAGTATTTCATACCCTTGGCGATATGTCATAAGAAGGAAATGGCAAAAGTGGGTTCAGCTTCCATATCTGAAACTGGTAGTGAGTGACTAAGTTCGTCAAGTTGGGATAGCTTACCTTGATCTGGTTGTTTTGTTACTGAAGCAGAATTTAAATTGTTCAGATTAATTTGATCCAACATGGTAATGTACAAATCTGAAAACCAGGTTCTAGTCATGCAAGGAAATAATAAAAAACTGCTTTAACCAGCTTTGTAACTACTGATCCTTGGAAGAATCAATGAGAACTCTTCAGAGCTCTTATCGAAACAGTGTTGTCATAATACAATTACATAAAGATCTCAATGCTGCTAGGCATTCCTGTGACCTGTGATGAGAGTCAAGAAGTCAAGATATATATAAGAACAGATTCCCTTCCTGCTGACCTCACCATAGTGGGGAGGACATTGTTTTTGTTCAATTGTGGTAAGATGGAACAAAGTGACCAGAGTAACTGAATGGCCACTCAAGAAAAAATGCTTTCTGGCAATATTCTACATGTAACTTGTTATGCAAGGTGTAGAAATACTGCATCTTTTTTCATCTTGTATGTTCTTTATTGCTTGACCAGCTTGTTGTGATGTGGAAAAGCATGCATAAACAGCTTAATGCTGCTTGCCCATTTGGCTCTATTTATTTACAGTATTTTTGTATGAGAGAAGTCCTATAATACTTTCTGACATGCAAATATTGTTGCACCATCTATATTTGATTCAAATCTGTTTAACAGCCCTATATCTCCTGCCTGTCCTGAGTTGTTACTCAGATATATCCACATGTGTGGATGGGAAGGCATAACCATCACACAATATCTAATGAGATGATTGTATACCTTCTAAGAACAAGCTTCTCCTAGGATTGATGTGGTTCATTGCTTGCATCAGGCTTTTTTGTTCTTGAGATCCTCTATAAGGCCATGTTGTGGTGAGTATGGTAGCTAAGGAAATGTGAGGTAAGGTTCCTATAATGTCTTGCTTATCACCTGAATTATGTTTTTGTTGCAAAATATAGCCTTACAAAAAAAAAAAAGAGCAGTGATCCACTTCTCAGAAAATCACCCAGAATTCTGAGTCCATTATGATTCTAAGACCTTTTCCTCCTTATAAAAGAAGAGGAATGTGACAAGACTGCCATACACAGATTTGAGGCATAGGATCTGAACAAGCAATTCCATTTTTCCTTCCTGGCTTTCACTGCTTTTTTTTAAAGTTATGATGGAGCTTCAGGGAAACTTCTGCCACTCCTTAACCAACTACTTCTTAAATAGTCTTACATTCTGCTCTTACCCCAGCTTTTGCTAAATTTAGTATAGAAACTTGAGTAAGCAAGCATGTAAATGTAGACCTTTACTCAAATTTCAATTGAATATCATTGTAATTTCGAAATATCCTTCAAGTAAAGTGAAAAGATAAAGCAAATGCCATTGATTCTTATCCACATTTACTATAAGAAATTTTATCACATCCCCAAAAGTGAGATGCAGATAAGCTATGGCAGTGAGAAGCCGTCGTGGGAAGTCCTCTGATACTGTTGCTTATAGTGAGAATGCAGTGCGGAGCAACAATGGCATTGTCGAATATTGCCGTATCTGTAATGCCTGCCTTTCAGGATCCACAGCCGGAATTCTCGGCCTCACTGGACTTCAGGGTTTTGTTTTTTTCTTCCTGAATGTGTTCATCCTCTGGGTAAGGTTTATGGCTGCTCAGTGGGTTCACAGCATGCTATTTGTTGGGCATTGTTTGCATATTTCTGCCATGGCCTGAAACTTGGGACTTTGCTTTTACAGCTGCTGATCTTATTCAAAGCAGGGAAGCAGTGGGAGAAGTACTTTTTCAGTCGGAAGGCTATCCTCACTGGTGGGTTCTTCAGTGGACTCTTTGTATCCTTTCATGCTAGGCTATAAATTTGGGGTAAATACAAACTATTTGTGAACCCACACCAAACTGAAATCCTATTGAAAAATCACTGAATTGGACTGGTTTCTTTTGGGACCATGCCAACACTTTGGCTTGTTGCTAGGCAGCTGTGGCAATAAATATGGCTGCAGTTGAGAAGAACCCAAGTATAATTTATCAGATAATTGTCCAAAAGAGGTAACTAAATAATGGAGCCTGAACTGAACTGATTATCAGTTCTAGCTAGCAAAACTTGAACTCAAGCTGAATTCCAAGTGGAGATCCCAGAGCCAGAATTCCTAATTGTGCCAAGCCCAACTTGGCCTGTATCTTCCTCTTTCAAGCTCGTTCTCAGTAGTTTCTGGGTTCCATATGTTCTAATTCAAACCTCAAAGGAGTTGTATAATGCAAAAAAAAATATGAATGGCTCAGGGTTTAAAGGGTTCCTAAAGCATGAGTTTCTTGATTTCATTTAGAACAATGTAACTCCTAACAAATCTAGTGGTTCTGGAATGGCTTCATGGAATCAGTCATGTGTAGGTGTTTTAACAGCTTTTATCTCCATGCACAGAATTTTATATGTTTAACTTGGTGTAACTTCAGGCAGCATGCATCTGCTGCCATCTTCATGCATGCCAGTCAGGTGCATGGTACTTTTAACCATCTCATACCTACTTCCCTCCCCTACTCTTAGAATGCTGCTAAGTTCCTGAGGCCAGTCAGAATCCTGGCTTCCCATTTTTAA